GTCGGCTCAGTGGCTGGTTGAGTTGTCTTGTCGTTGAAGGGAACACTAACCCTCATCACTGTGGGTGAGATGGCAGCCTCTGTGGCTGACTAATCTCAATCAGTGATGAGACAAACTGAGAAAATGCTCAATTCGTGTCATATTTTAAAATACTGTAATGTTCTTTAGAAACTGTTCCCAGTTACTGTCTCCCATGCTTTGCCCGTCTTCACGTTTGTGTTCTCCCTCTCCAGGTGCTAAGAACCTGTACATCATCTCAGTGAAGGGCATCAAGGGTCGTCTGAACCGTCTGCCTGCTGCAGGAGTGGGTGACATGGTCATGGCCACAGTGAAGAAAGGAAAGCCAGAGCTCAGGAAGAAGGGTGAGTGGATCCACTGTCTGTGCAAGATACTTAGGTGTTGGTTAGAATGTTGAGGCTGTTCATTAACTCTTATAGGAACCAAACATATGTTGAGTGCTTGTGGGGACAGTGAATACCAATGCATAGGTTTAATGCACAGAAACCTGGAACTTTCATCTAGCTGTACATAGCTTACACATTTTTCAGTCAGGTCTGCTACAAGACGGGTGTCTAAGCATTGAAGTTAAGGGAATGCTTATGCCTAATAACTGAAACTTGGGGTACACACGGGCAAGTATAATTTTAAAGTGCAAAAGATTACTCATGCTGTTGTAAATGTGATTTATGCCAGCTAAGAGAAAGTAGCAGTTTTGTGTCATTGCTACATGCAGCAACACAATGCGGAGATGGCGGAGAGAACACGCTCCGAGGTGTGGTTAAACTTTACCCGTCTCGATGTGGACAATGCTTGTTGCCAAAAGTGCAATAAGAGTTTAGCATGTAAGGGCGGTAACACAAGCAATTTGTCTAAACATTTAGCAAAAGTGCACCATATTCAGACGGAGGAATGCACCGGGTTCGACTGTCTTTCTAGTAGCTCTGTAGCCCCATCCACGAGTAACGTTTCCGCGTCAGGTGTTATGTATGCTAGCAGCAACACACAGAGTTAACTCAGTTATACAAACATGGGTTAATGATTAGAGGTAACTGAGTTATTTATTTTGTTAAAGTTTCAAATATTCTGTTTACAGTTCTGTCATCAGATTATTTAATACGATTTGTTAAAACATTGTTGTTTCTTTTTATGTGAAATATTATTTATCTAATTTAAATAAAAAGCAATGTTAATTTTGTTCAAAGTGTGTTTAGTTAATTTAATAATATATGTATTTTTGAATCAAGTATTCATCTTGTCTTCATTGTTAGTTTCTACATGCCTAAAACAACCTCAAGCTAAATCTAAAAGTTGATGGCTAAATAAGAGCGTTTGAGAAATTGTGCAAGGCATACAGTAATAGTCGATTAATAGTTTCATTAATCAATAGATGAATCGATTATCAAATTAGTCATTTGTTGCAGCACAATTACTAACTAAAATTGTTGGACAACAGTATAGTCTAGAGCAGGGGTCGGCCACCATTGGCACTTCATATCAAAAAGGTTGCAGACCCCTGGTCTAGATTAAATTAAAACAAATAATTTCTGAAGCTTATTCATCACTGATGCAGTGATCATGTTTGTAGGTTTTTTCAGAAAAGTGTAAATACAATTTGCAAAGATGAGTTTTTAACTTTGTGTTGACTTGAAGTAACCTAATTTCCTCTGTCCACAGTGCATCCTGCGGTGGTGATACGGCAGCGGAAGTCGTATCGGCGAAAAGATGGCGTGTTTCTCTACTTTGAAGACAATGCAGGCGTCATAGTAAACAACAAAGGAGAAATGAAGGGTGGGTTTGTTTGGATGTATAAGGACGAGAAGCTAAATATGCAGTAATTATAACAGCCTTAAGGCATTGCGGATAGTCTCATGTACGCTGACTGTATGACATAGCCCCTCAGGTTCTGTCCTGTCGGACAGTAAAATGTTTCTCATCGATTCTCTCCTCTAGCTGAGTACCGGTTGAAATGTTAATGTTTTAGTTTGAAGTTGTGTTTTTATTAAGATTGACTTTTTATTCAAAGTTATTGGACCAGAATCAGTTTTATTACACCATAACATTTGCATACAGTTTGGTGTTTTCTCATAGAGGTGATACAGATAGATATTCCCCCTTCTAAAAGCACTTGCTTGGTCGTCTCAGTGGCTGGGTGAGTCGTCATAGAAGGGAATACTAACCCTCATCACTGTGGGTGAGATGGCAGCCTCTGTGGCTGACTAATCT